CTTACTTACAATTCCACAACAGGTTGTGTTTTGTCGCTCTTTGAAAATATGGTTTTTATCTTTTCGATAACTTTTAAGCTGAACATATAAGTTGATATATGTATGTATTTCTTATCACTCACATCAATAAGATAATAGTGAATAATAACGGTATTCGATAACGATACAATACATCGATAGCTAAACTGCGATGTGGCATTCCCATCCCTACAGCTACAGGTAAGGAAATCAGGTATAACGAACATTCTTCTCCTGACAGGGGACAGAAATAAACCGTAAGTCCTCAACTTGTTGAATATATAGTAGGTAAAAATCTTCTTGCTAATCACAATACATTTTTGACTATCAAAATAATATTCATGAAGTAATAAGTAAAGTTTTTCCCCGATTCATAAGCCCGCCACAATCGCAATTTGAAAAAATCAAACGTAAATAATGCAAAATAAGACCGTAGACTAGTGATTAATTAGTGTGTGACTTTGTTCTTTGAATTTGATAACGGGGTATTTGGTTCATAATCCCCTTTTTTTTTGTTGATATACGGAAATTACATATGCATGTTTATTGACATTTGTGTATGTATCGACATTTGTGGGATTTAGCCGTTTTCAATACGCAAATAACGTAAAAGAAAACCTTAAATCAGGTGTCAACCGTATGTTATGCGCATGCAAGCGCTTAATTGATTACCCATTTTACCGTTAGTCAACAAACGGACGACAAGATCTGTCGTGTTTACCTAGCAAACACATACAAACGCACTAGCACCCACCCGTGACATTTTCCATACGCTTGTGTGTGTGTGGGTGTGTGTCTGCGTGGAAAACAAACTGTGTGAAATGCAATTTTCAATCTTGGCTTTTTATTGCAGATTAACCGTAACATCCCCCCATCCAGCCATTCCATTATTCCATCATCTCTGTGTGGGAATAATCAATACTGCACATATACTGAGCCAGCGGCAACAGCAAAAACAACAAGAAATAATGGTGTGGTCTAGTGATAAGCAACAACAGTAGGGCCACAGCCCGGCCCCACCCCCTCAGCCCACCGCCCATCGCCCACTGACGCGGGAGCAGGAATTCCAACAGGAGGAGTCACAAAAAGCAATTACCATCGCACAACTCAAATTTCCTGTCATTCCTCCATCATTCCGGGCGACAGAAAGTGGAAATAATGTCACGCGAGGAGCGCAAACCCATCGTGGACACCTCGAATAGCAGCAGTTCCAGCAGCGGCGATGATGAGGTGCATCCTGTGGTGCGACGACGCAGTACCCGGGACACGGTGCTCGCTGGTCCCCAGAAGGATGCAGGATGCTGCGATCCTTCGAGCACGCCGCACCGATTCCTGGCCCTGCTCTTCATGTGCCTCCTGGGTTTTGGTAAGTCGGTGTAACCATATACCATTTTTGGAATCATAGGATAGTGAAGATCCTAACTTTAAGAAATTTTGAAATTCGTAGAAGTCTGAAAAACTCAAAAATCTAAAAAAAAATGTAACAACAATTATATTTAAATTAGTAGTCTACATTTTTTAAAATTAAATAATTTTTTTGTTTTAAAATGTATTATTACTGTAGGGAAATATAAGTCCTCTTCTTAACTTATGAAAAATAGGAAATATCATAGGTAGTTAGTGGTCCTACAATTATTGGTTCTAAACAAAACCAACTATTTTCATTTAATATTTTATAATATGGGCTATGAATAATATTATTCAAATACTCCAATTAAATGAATCTGATACAAAATAATATCGAATCTCGATAAATATTTCCAAAAGTCTGTGCTGGAGATCGGTTTGGAAACCTTTTTTCGAAATTAAATTTAATATAGATATTAATTTGGAATAATTATTATACAACCTAATATATCATCTTTCGATATCTTTTTTAGGTTCCTATTTTTGCTACGATAACCCCGGCGCCCTTCAGGACGTCTTCCAAAAGGAACTCGACCTCAGCTCCACGGAGTTCACGCTGATCTACTCCATCTACTCGTGGCCAAACATCGTGCTCTGCTTTGTGGGCGGCTTCCTTATCGACCGGGTGTTCGGAATCCGTCTGGGCACCATTATCTACATGCTGATCGTGCTCGTTGGCCAGCTGATCTTCGCCACCGGCGGAGTACTGGGTCACTTCTGGTTGATGATCGTGGGACGCTTTGTGTTCGGCATCGGGGCTGAGTCGCTGGCTGTGGCCCAAAACAGCTACGCGGTGCTATGGTTCAAGGGAAAGGAGCTGAACATGGTCTTCGGACTGCAATTGTCGGTGGCTCGCTTCGGCAGCACCGTCAACTTTTGGATAATGCAACCTTTATATGGCTATGTCTCGAAATCGTACTCTGGATACAAGGGTCTGGGAGTGGCCTTGTTCCTGGCTTCTTCCACGTGCGTGATGTCGCTGATCTGCACCTTGATTCTGGGTAGGATATCACTTATGAAATATCCTTTATAAAAATATAACATACGAATTTATAAGATATTATGTTCTATCATTATATTAATATATAGGATATAATTTATGCAATATCTTTTATAAAAATTTAATATAATATCTCTTTTTAGGTTGGATGGACAAGCGTGCGGAACGGATTCTTAAGCGAAATAATAATCCTGGTGGGGAGATTGCCAAGCTCAGCGACATCGTGACCTTTAAGCTGGACTTTTGGATGGTGTCGGTGGTCTGTGTGGCCTATTATGTGGCCATCTTTCCCTTCGTCGCCTTGGGCCAGGCCTTCTTTGTCAGCAACTTCCATATGACTCCGGATGAGGCGAACACGGTCAACTCGATTGTCTACCTGATCTCCGCCATAGCATCGCCCCTGTTTGGCTTTGTAATCGACAAGGTCGGAAGGAATGTAACCTGGGTGTTTTGTGCCACCATCTCCACCCTGCTGGCCCACTTCCTGCTGACCTTCACCCACTGGGATCCGTATATCGGCATGAGCATCATGGGTTTGTCCTATTCCATGTTGGCGGCTAGTCTGTGGCCTCTGGTTTCGTTGATTGTGCCCGAATATCAACTGGGCACGGCATATGGCTTGTAAGTTTACTGATGTGCTGTCTTTTGGAACCGATTTAAGTCCTTTATGGTTACCTTTTCAGCTGCCAGTCGGTGCAAAATCTGGGATTGGCGGTGGTCACCATTGCAGCGGGCATTATTGTGGACAGCAGCGGTGGCAGTCACTTCTGGCTGCAGATCTTCTTCATGTTCTTCCTGCTGAGTAAGGCTAAACTTCAATCTTTTAAACATTATAACAAACCTAATTATATTTTTAGTCTCCCTGCTGGCCACCTGTGCGATTTGGGCCTACAACCGTAAGCATCAGGGCAACCTTAACATGTCACCTGCCCAGCGGGCCACATATCACACCTCGATGTACGTGAATATTGAGTCGAGTTGAGCATGCTATTGATGTCTTGATGTTGTGTTCTAATCCCCTATGATGACACACCTCCACATCCGCCTCTGACTAACTAACATTCTCTTTCTAAATGTATTTGCTTTGTGTACATGCCAAAAGCGCGATGCAGTGCCCATTCGTGAACAGGCGGCCTTTGTTGGGCAACCGAGTGCAATAGATCGATTATCTGTTACTAACCAATAACCAAATGTGATGTTAATGCCATCTCTCTATCTAAACTTGACTATGCAACACGGAGCACATTCTTTTAACCGCACAATCGTCGTGGTCGTTCGATCGTTCTAACTCCTAGCCAATATTCTATGATACATATCAAACTATTGTTATATTTATACTTTTTTGTTGTATATGTTGAATAAATTTATGTAAATGTACATTCACCAAATTAAATAACGAAACCAATGTGTCTGGGTTAAAGTTGGTAGTTGTGAAAGATGCTGTGTTTGATCTTGATTCCATTTTATTTTCCTTGCAAATATCTTTTTGAAGAATATATTGTATTTGTACAAAATAAATAAAATAAATTAACTAAAGCATAAACAGAAATTCAAAGAATTTTGGTGTGGTTATCGTTTTGTTTTACATTTCCCACATGAATTTAACAAAAAATAATATAAAAATTTCTATGATGCATAGACTAGAGAAAACAAAATACAATTTCAAATCTTGAAAAATGATATTCAGAGCAAGTCACAAAAGAATTATAAAATAATAATAAACACATAGATGAATTAATACATTTCTTTTTCCATTTTGAGAATTATTTGGTTGGGAGAGAAACAAAGTTGGGAAGGGATGAGAAACGAATTTGAAACTAAAAATGTGTCATTCTCTATTGAGTTACTAAAAATGCATTCCATTTAATGTGGGCCATTAAAGTTAAGGCCTTTTTCGAGCCTTTTCAGTTAGCTGCATTTTGTAAATTAGTAAATATTGGGAAGTTCGATTCCCCTTTCGCTTGAACTTAACTAAGAGCTTCGTTGAATTTTCTAGTTATTATGAAAGTTGTTGATTTTTTCGTTGGTAATTTCTAAGGTTAGTTCAGCAATGAGTTGCTTGATTTTTTCAATATTTTTTTTTTGGTCGTTCTGTTTTTTGCGTTTGTTAGATGAGGCTAGGGCCAAAAGCATTGAAGAATAGTCTAGCTCTGTCTGTCACCCCGGACATTTATATAGCATATGCGTATTATCTATATTGTCAGTTTGGACCGCTCCATGGGTGGGGTTATTCATCCAGGGTCTCGACCTCGTCGGCTGCCACAATGTCTCGCTTGGCGGCAGTCTTAATGCTGGCCAGATACTTCTCGGCATCGAAGCGCTGGCTCTCATCCTGCAGATCCTGTTGTCAAAAAAAGAAATAACTCTATAGTACCTTTCAAAAGAACTAGGTTTCTCAATTATAGGGTCGAGCTTACCTTGGACAAACATATGTATGTATATTTGGAACATTTAATGCCTAAGTTAGCCATTTTGGGGTGCTTTTTGGTGAGCGTGCTTTGGATGAGTTAGCAGTTCAATGGTAATACACATTTACAATGCACTATATGCGGTGTGTCAGTTAAACCCAGCCAAGCTTTGTTACGGACTTTGAAAGCCCTTATGTTTATTAGATTTTTTTTATAAATCGTATTGAATATGTGTGTTTGGGGGATAAAACGCTTAAAACTATGTTTGTTACACTTGTTATAAGTCTTATTAAAACATTAATTACAGCTTTGCAAATGTTTTGTGTGAATTCGAGAATGTTTGTTAATGGTTAGACGGTTCGAACCGCGTTTTCAGTTTACCTCTAGCGAAGACTTAATCTGTTTCACAGCCAAAACACAGATTCTCCCTATAGTTACATTTCTTTTTTCAATTTTATGCATTAGATGTATTGTTACGTCTAAGACTAGCGAATAGTTTCACTTTGTAATTGGTTTGGTTTCGTTGGTATGTCTTTAAGTATATGACTGGATGATAATAATAATGGTGTTCATTCGAATCATTATCAAATTCTTCATGCTTTGCGCGTGTTAATGGTTAGTAATATTAAATTAAAGGAGCAAGAATTCTGCTTGTGATGATTCGAAATGAAAAGCATTGCCTATCTGTGGCTGAGATTCAATTATGATCGGTACGTATTCCGGCTACGTAATCGGGGTGTTACAAAAATTATTCGAAATTAGAAGAAAACACGATTATTGTTTGATTCTTGCTCGCATAAGGCCATGGAGAATTCATCGTCCTCGCAGTAGCGCTGGAAAATGGCCTTCACCTGGGATGCTTGATAGTTAGACTGGCGATTCTTTCCCTGTGGAGCAAGCGATCCACCCACCGTGTTGGTTATGATTTGCAATTGCTTATTATACAGGTTTCGATCGGACATGGCCGATGGCTTGGGAAGGCGACGGGTCTCGCGATCGACGATGATCCCTTTTGATTGCTTGTTAGTGATGGTTATGGGATTGTCTGCTGCTGCTGCATCAACAGCAGCTCCTCCAACGGTGGTGCTGGTGATGTTGGTGTTTGGGGTGGAGGTTACTGTATATATAGCTGTAGGCGCAGTCGAAATTGTTATTACTGATGGGTTAGGTGCAATGGTGGTGTTGATGAAGTCGGGGGAGTTCGAAGAGTGTACGATACTGTCGACGGGGACATCGTGTGGCGGATTTACCTTGTTGCGCAGAATCGAGGGCGTTGTTTCCTGCATCTTTTGCCAGTCGGTGGGCAAAGCCCAGGAGTGTGGACTCTTCGAGTAGTAGATCAAGTGCTCAATATCGTAAGAGACGCGAGCTGTAGAATAGAAATTTACATATTAGATACATAATACATCGTTAACTAAAACTTGAAGCCCTGAACTAAAGGATTCAATCTTACATGCATTGCTTTTCAAAGGATTAAGGCCTGCCAGTTCGTCCACATCAAACTTCTCGCGAACTCCCTTGGACTCCGGCGTGGACTCCTTGCGCGAAAAGTGGCTGCGACGCGATCTGGCCAAGCCATTCTGATTGTTAGTCGAGGATCCACCATTGGTGGGCTCTGCAAACACCTCGTCGTCGCCCTCGCCATTATTGTTGGCGGCCGAGGAGGCGGCGTAGTTCAGTCCAATGCCGCTGTCCGTGCCAGGCAGCAAAAATTGCGGTGGCCCGCCTCCGGGTAGCGGAGTCGATGGCGTGGTTACTGGGCTCACCAGAGAAGTGCCGTCAAAAGCGGCGCCAGCCTCAATGGAGGCCAGAAACTCCGAGCTGCTGAAATAGTCATCGAGGACGAGCTTGGCCACCTGGTAAGGATTGGGTTATATTATTTAGGGGACTAAAGGAAAAGATAATGACTCCACTTACGCGCACTAGTTCGCAGCAGTCGCCGGTGATCTTGATCAGGTGCTGGCCCACGTTGACCGTGAACTTGTATTCACCTACGGAAGCATCGTTTGTGGAATATGAGTGCATAAGGAGCTGCTGATTGGGACGCAAGACTTTACCGGCAGCGGCTGTCGCCTGAGCATGTGCCGCCGCTGCTGCTGCGGCTGCTACTGCGGCAACTTGCTGCTGCTGCTGCTGTTGCTGGTGGTGCGTTTGGTGGTGCACCTGCTGCGAGATCTGCTGTGCAGCAGCGGTGGCGGTCATGAAATTCTGGGCGGAGTTGAAGCTCAGCCGGTTGGCCAGACTGCTTCCGCTTGGAGTGCGCGGCTGCACGATGGCGTCGTCCGAGTTGGACGAGTTCAGCGAGGAGCACGATCCTCCGGCGCCGGGAGCGGGTTCCAGGCGGACCGGCGAGGCGTTACGACGGATGGTGTCTTCCATCAATTGTTTGGCGTAGCTGTCGTTTAAAGAAATCATATTTTAATAAGAGCGTCTTAAGAATGTGACGGAATCTGAGTTTGGGACTGCCAATCGTTGACGATTTTTACGGTTAAACTTTAGTGTTTATGATAGTATTATTTAGAGTTGGCAACTTTAACACAAAGAAAAAGACAGCAGTGGTAAAATTAATAGTTCCTTGAGATATCAAGGTGAAATAGTCCTCGAAAAATACCAAAAATCTTTAATACTAACAAGTACGTAAATAACATAAAAACAAAACGAGAAAACATAGTATTGCCTTTAAATACTAATTTATGTATTGTGATAAAAAAAAAAATATAGCAATACCGTCCTATAAAATGTTTTTAAGTACAATTACATTACTCACTTAATTTTCTCCTCGGCTGGACCAGTAATCTGTACCAAACGCTCCTTGGCGCCCGGGTTGACTAATAAAGAAATTGCATTAATAAATTGTGTCAGGAAAACTAGGTAATATACATTAAAATGAAATAATAAAATGGTAATAAATATTTATAACATGGAAATAAAATGGTAAAAACGTATAACTGATGGTAGTAAACGATATATTTAAGTGGTATCATAAAATGGACTCATGCGAAATTTTGGTACAAGCCACCAGCCAATAATTGAGTGCAAAAAGCGTGCCAAATGAAATGCGGGTGCAATGAGGATAATTGAAACCAGCCTTCTGGGGGTTACCTCTTTGAAACGATATAATGGTTTCGCTTAGTTCCTCGATCATGTGCACGCGTCGCCCCTTGATGCCCATGACTTTGTGGCCACGGGATTTTTGGGAATACATTTTTTAAAATTCATATTCATAGATCAGTGTGTTCCGGGACACTTGAAAGCGGGGGAAAACTCACCTTTGCCGGAGTCGGCGTTGCGAATCACGACCTCATCCTTGCAGTATGTCTTGCCGGGAATCTTGGTCGGTTTGGGAAACTTGCCCGAGTTACGGATGACCTCACCGGGCGGCAGCAGCATGTGCTGCTGGTTGGGTGAGCCCACGGCCGCAATGGCCGCTGCTTGGGCGGCTGCGGCTGCAGAGGCCGCATTGAAGACGGCTGCAGCGGCGGCTGCGGCTCCAACATTGACACCGCCAACACCGCCGCTGAGGCCGAATGTGGGGGAGGTGCTGAAGGCGCCTGACTGAACGCCAGCATCGTACTGATATTCCGTGGGCAGCTGGAAGAGAGGATTGGTCATTAGATTCTGTTCGGAGATCGTTTCTAAGCAGCAACAATCAATTAAGTTAGATTAATTAAAGATAAAGTGTTAGTTACTTGAGAATTATTTGTTAATTTTCTAAAATCAGGCAATTAACACGCTATTTTTAGACCCTCTTTGGCAGACTCACCTCCACGTTGGAGATCTGCTGCTTGGACTTATAGTACGCGATTGTGTCATCATTGTCCCAGCTCTTGGCGCGCAGCTCGATGAGCTCGAGCAGCTTGAGACGCGTCGTTATGTTCAGCCGTTCGTCCTGCGAAGCGTTGCGGAAAACGACAAAGGCCCGATCCAGTGTGTCCTTGGACACCGCCTCCAGCTGCGGTCCATGCACCCGCAGGTTGTGCAGCAGCAGCGTGATCGAGTCCGGCGTAGTGTTGCATGACTGCAGGCCCACGGCAACGTTGTCTATCAACTGGATGAGCTCCTCGATCACCAGATAGCTGTTCTTTAACGACGATCGCGACTGTGTCTTCAGTGGGCGTGGCGCCTCAATGTTTTTCACGGCGCGTCCCAGGTGTGTGTGGGCCATTTTCGGTATTCGTTGGCTTCGATAGTGTCTCAGTGAAGTCTATAGGTTGTCCTGCCTGCTGTCCGATTTCGCTGAGCTCAGCTAAAAGGTCTGGTTATTTGTTCGTTCGTTTGAATGTTTGCTGAAGAATTGGTGAAAAAGAAATCGTAGAAGCTTTTTTCCGCACCTCCCCCTGGAAGAAAGGAGATTATTTTAGGGGTTTCTTTAAATTGAAGATTCTTAGGTTATTGATAATTTATTTTAATTCAACTATAGTTACTTCAATCAAAAATCCTATGCATAAATGACAAGTGGAAAATGTCAAACAGGCGATTTTGATGCAAGAATAAAATGTAGTAGGCTAAGGACACTAAATTCTTTTTAATAAATATTTAGATTGAAACCGTTGAAATTGGGGACCCTCCTTTAGCTATAAAATAATCCAAAAACTAAAATGATAATTTATGTAAAAAATTCGTATTAAAAAGGGTTAATAATGTAGTTACAACATGACTTTCTTCTATGTTTAGATTGGGAAAATTCTATTGAACTCAAAGAAAATGAGATCTAAACATAGGAAAAGTTTGTAAGAAACCAAAGTTCGAGTTACAGAGAATAAACCAAAGAAAACTAATTAGTTCTACTTAATTAAACATAGTATTTGGATAGTTCTAAGGAAAGCTTTGAAAACCTAGACTTTTAGTTCTTGAGGATATGGATATAGCCTCATTTCTTTCCGAATCTTGAGAATTGCGACGCACAGCTCTCGTATATCTTTGGCCTTAACGGTGATTCGCGCGTTTGATAAGCGGCTTTAGCTGATAACACCTGGATTTATCTATAGTTTAGTGGCCAATTAACCCATTGGCGCCCTCGCGGCTTTTGCTGACTCAATCGTTCCGGTGTACCAAAAGTACCAAAAGCGAAATATGTAAATAATTAATGAAAATTGTTTGCATAAATGGGAACAACAAACGGACGGCCATTTGTGTTGTTTTTAGTTCGACTTTCGCTCCATGCGAACACATTTCATTTTTTTTTTAAATATCACTTACAGTCGCTGCAGCAGCAACAACAACAACAAAAACAGGCAACAGAAATATTACAAAAAACTGAAATTATCCGTGGGAGGGAGGGAGAATGGCGCGACGATAGAGAGAGAGAGAGAGGCGATCGTTCTATTGAATCATATGTCGAGAATAGCAACAACAAGAATGGCCTCTGCCGACGTCGACGCAGGCAGCGCAGCTGGCTCCCGTTGGGCGTTGAACAAAAATGCAAGTCGATTGAAGTTAAATTCGGCGACGTCGTTTAATTATCAATCAATCAAATCCCTTTTGGCTTGGAAAACTCCGCAAAATTGAGTAATATTTTGATGGCACGGCGAGCATTTCGTTAAATTGAGCAAACTGCGCGTTTCGCTGGCGACCGACTTTCCACTCGCTTTTAAGATCTTACACTTTTCGCGTTGGGCTCTCTTTTGCGATATAGTTGGTTAGGCCCCCGACTCGGAACGCTTGTTTATTTGGTGTATTTTCCACCGAAATTCCAATTAAAATGCAAAAGCTTACCAAAACCAAAATCTCTGCGACTCGACTGCGAATGAAATTATGATGTTGCCACCGTGCCGCAAAAAGCCATTCAGCGCGAGGCGTTGCCACCTGGTCGAACCCGTTCATCTCTAGCTGTCGGTAAAGCAACAAACTGTTCAGACAAAGGCACATTTGCAGCAACGACTTTTATTAAATGATTACATTCATCCATAATAACAGAAGGTACTTTCTTCTTCTTCTTAATTCTTATGCAGACTTTTTAAAAGCATATCAGCTACGCTGGCTGGAACACCGCTTGGTGTAAACGCCCCTAAATTTTTTTCTTTCATGAATTTTATTAAATCGTTAAATATTTAATTGTACCATATATTTAAACATAAAATGTAGAGCATATATTTTTATTTAAGCAATTTATATAATAAGCTTCATTTCAATATATTGTATATATATGTATTGAAAAATATTGTATTGAATATATGAATATATATATGAATATATTTAAAATCCCCAAATTAATTTTACAAATAGTCCGTTATAAAACCTCAAAACTTACTTTATTAAATTAATTTATTAAATACACATAAATATAAATTTGAGAACCACAAAATATCTGAGGCAAGCTCCCCAAATGAACTTAAAAATAATCGATAGTCCGGTCAATCGGAAATAATGCATTTATTCTGTCATCTCTAGCTGTGTAGAACGAATTTCTGGAAAATTGTGATTATCACAATATTTTCCCCAATTTAACGCCTCTGCTGAAAAATGTCTGAAAACGAGGCCGTGGAGGCGGCACCGGAGGAATCTGCGGAGACCAGCGAAGAATCCGGCAAAGATGAAACGCAGACGAAGCCGCTGCAAATGTCGTTTGCAGATTGGAAAAAGTGCAAGGAGGCACTGAAACCAGACTCGAAAGCCGAACCACCGCAGCGCAATTCGAACAATTATGGTCCAAATAACAATTATAATAACCATAATAATAACAGCAACAACAACAACAACAATGGGCGTAAACAGTGGGGACCCAACAACAATGGCAACTACCAAGGAGGCGGAGGACCGAACAACTACCAGGACAGGAACAACTATCCGCCACTGAGCAGACCGCCTCCACTTCCGATGCAGTTGATGAACATGGGCTTCGGTGGCAACTTCGGACCGGGTCCGGGAAGCAACTTTGGTCCAGGAGGACCCCCGATGGGTCCAATGGGCCCTGGTGGACCATGTGGGCCCATGGGAAATATGGGACCCAATGGTCCCATGGGTAATATGGGTCCCAATGGCCCCATGGGAAATATGGGACCCAATGGACCCATGGGCTTCGGAGGACCAGGTGGTGGCCCCGGTCCACGACGTAATCAAAACCAGCGACCGCTGCAGCCGCCTCCGTTTTGGGAGGACATGATGTCGCCACAGCACCGACCACCGCCCATACAACCGCCCATGCCCAAGTGCCCCAGTCTTTGGAATCTGGTGCCCAAGGAGCGTGCGCAGGGAAACGATCGCAACAATCAGAATCAAAACAAGAAGAAGTTCAGCTCTAACAGTCGGGGCAACAATGCCAAAGATTCCAAGCTAATGCCTCCGCCACCGCCGCCAAGCGATGGCAACAAATCGCAGTCGAACGGAGAGGCTCAACCCTCCAAGAAGCCCAAGCGTGCCGGCACCTTTGTCCAAATCAACGGCCAGTGGATCCAGAAGCCGGAGGCACCTCCTCCACTGGATGATATTCCGACGGGTACGAAGGAGGAGCGCCAGCGTCAGTGGAAGGAGTACCGCATGGCCATGAAGCCGTTCAAGAATCGCGAGTTTCACAACTGGAAGCGAACTGTTCAGCGTTTGGGGAAGCTGCCGCGTGACCAATTGGACGAGCAGCAGCTGGAGCGCCTAGTAAAGGCCGAGGAGTACATTGGCGCACACAAGGCGATGCTTACAGTGAAGCATGCAGAGCGCTGGGTGCAGCAGGACAACAAGAACGAAAAGGGCCAGGTGTTTGTGCGCAAGTCGCCGAACATTGGCTCATGGGACATGCCCAAGGATAAGCAACCCCCCACTGGCTATTCTTCGTTGCATGAATTCAAGAAGACTCAGGTGGATAAGTTCTTTGGCCCCGGGCGTGCCATTAAGGGCGGCGCCGATCTCTCCACCCTTGGAACTTTGGCGCCACCTCCGCCGCCGCCGCCCGATAATCCTCCGCTGGCGAACAACTACTGGCCGCCTACCCCTGTCAGTAATACGGGCTCCAATTCCAATCCCTCGTACTACAGCCACTACAGCAACAGCTTCGTAAAGGGCGGATCTCTGCTGCCGCCCTAGAACTGCTACCGGATATTAACCCAAGGCGTGGGTTTTAACGATTCTTCAATTGCAAGGCACCTGCAACGAATTGACACATCTGCAAACCAAGGTCAGCAGTCTTCTCTTCATTCTGGGTCGACGTTCATTGGTATTTGTATTCAGATAAATGTAACAAAATCAACTTGACACTCTTAAAACTATTGCTTTTGCTTGCGACTACGTCGTGGCTGGGTTTCATCCAGTGGCGGAAGACCAAGGATTTGGCGTCGCTCCCGCTTGCCGCGCAGAATGGCCTCCTTAAACAAGTTGCAGTACAGCTCCACCGCTGCCGGGGAGTCATCGTTGCCGGGCACCGGGTAGGTGATCAAATTGGGATTGCAGTTGCTGTCCACAATGCCGATCGTGGGAATGGCCATCTTGGCGGCATCACGCACTGCCGTGTGCTGGGACATCACGTTGTTCTGTGTGTTCAGGAAGATGCAGAGATCGGGCAGCCGGGTGACCGCATCAAACTGCACATTGGCATTGGTGAAGATTCCACCGCGCCAGAAGCGAGTGTGCGAGAATTCCCCTGCCTCCTGGGCCTTTTGCTCCACAAGATGGGAGTTCATGGCGTTGCGATTGAAGAACAGGATGATGCCATCCCGGAAGGCAATGTGGGCGGTAAAATTGAGGGCATCACGCAAATGCGACGCCGTCTTGTCCAGATCAAAGATCAGGTGGCCCAGTCGACTGCCGAACAAGTACGGACGCATTCGGTCGTCCAGGGAGCCCTCCTTGTGGCCATAGTGCACACGGGCGTTGAAGAGATCGCGCACGGTGAACAGGTTGTGCACCTGGAAGTAGTCCGGGTGCTTCAGTATCCGCTGCTCCACCAGAGCAATGTCCTCCGGCTCCGTTTCCGCGGATTGCTCCGGTTGTGTGCTCTGCAGGCGTCGCGGCAGGCCGCACATCTGGCCAAAACGTGGCACTGTCAAGGGGAGACATTTATAATGAATTTTCTTTGGGGTTTTTATTGATTACTTACGGTTAGTAAGCGATTTTCTCAACATTTTGGAGCGGCTCGTGTTTTCATAACCTATGTTCTTCTTCTTTCTATCCGTTTTGGTGAACAGCTGTTGGGCAGTGTTGGCTAGCGGCGATTTCAAAATGCAGTCTGTTTTAAAAACGCTATAAATTTACGTTTTAAAATTTGAATTAGTTTTAAAACAAAATAAAAATTGTTTAAAAATATGTGCAATACAAAAAATATAACTTAACGCAAAACGTAAACGTAGTAAAATTAAGTGCCTAATTAATATATAGTTTTTAGGAACACCCTACTCATTTCATCATCTGTTCATCTCCAGTGTTGAAAAACCCCCCACAGCCAGCTGGAACCTTTCGTTGTAAACTGGTACTTTTTGCGAAATATTGGCAAATTGCAATGTTCCAGCGACTGAAATAGCCGCAAAATCGATATGGAAGTAGAGCAGACGTCAATCAGATCGGACACGAACTCCACCTGCGAGTACCTGGATGCAGAGGGGGAGCCGGAGTCGCCGAGTCTCTATCAGGAGGCGGATCCCGACCAGGAGGCGGAGCAACAGAACCATAGTATTATCTCCGAGCTGAGGGATGGCCTGTCCAGCTCACGTGACACCAGTGCCCTGAGTCCGGAGCCTGGAAAGCAGAACAAGGGCCTGGCTGCCTCCGAGGAGTCGCTGGCCATAAGCACCTCGACCAGCGCCAAAACAGAGGATTCCATTGGTGGACTGGAGGAGGAGTACGACTACCAGAATGATAGCCTGTGGCAGGGCCAAAAGAAGCACATCTTCATACTCAGCGAGGCGGGAAAACCCATATTCTCGCTGCACGGCAACGAGGATAAGTTGGCCACTCTGTTCGGTGTCATCCAGGCGCTGGTGAGCTTCGTCCAGATGGGCCAGGATGCCATTACTTCCATACATGCGGCCGGCATCAAGTTTGCCTTCATGCAGCGCAGCTCGCTCATCCTGGTGGCCGCCACCAGGAGCAATATGAGTGTCCAGCAGCTGCAACTCCAACTGGGGTGAGTCATTTTTCTAGCTTCTGATAATAATTACAACTAATGCGGTTTCCGTATTCTTCCTCAGAGATGTTTACAATCAAATACTGTCGATATTGACGTACTCACACATGACGAAGATATTCGAGAGGCGCAAAAACTTTGATCTGAGGAGACTTCTCTCTGGCAGCGAGCGATTGTTCTACAATCTTCTAGCGAACGATAGCAGTAGTGCCAAGAGTAAGGATGAAGCCAAGCAGATGTTAAGCTTTATTAACTGTTCTTACCTTTTGCAGTGTCCAACAACATCTTCACATTTTTGACCAACTCAATACGCGTCTTCCCACTGTCCACAACGATACGCACGCAAATAACCAGCGCCATTCAGAGCAACTGCTCGAAGATCAAGAATCTGGTGTTTGCCGTGCTGATAGCCAACAACAAATTGATAGCTCTGGTGCGGATGAAGAAGTACTCCATTCATCCCGCTGATCTGCGACTGATCTTCAACCTGGTAGAGTGCTCCGAGTCGTTTAAAAGCTCGGAGAACTGGTCGCCCATTTGCCTGCCCAAGTTCGATATGAATGGGTATTTGCATGCGCATGTTTCGTATCTGGCGGATGATTGTCAGGCGTGTTTGCTCCTGCTATCCGTGGATAGAGATGCCTTTTTTACGCTGGCAGAGGCCAAGGCCAAAATTACAGAAAAGTTGAGGAAAAATCATTGCTTAGAAGCCATCAACGAAGAGCTGCAGCAACCGTTCAATGCGAAACTATACCAACAGGTCGTGGGAATCCCCGAACTGCGGCACTTTTTGTACAAGCCGAAGAGTACGGCCCAACTGCTGTGTCCCATGCTTAGGCATCCGTACAAGTCAGTGGAGGAGTTGGAGCGACTGGAGGCCATCTACTGCGACTTGCTGCACCGCATCCACAATAGTTCAAGACCGCTGAAGCTTATTTACGAGGTGAAGGAGCGCGAGGTTGTGTTGGCCTGGGCCACCGGCACCTACGAGCTCTACGCCGTTTTCGAACCGGTCGTGGACAAGGCCACCGTGATCAAGTACGTGGACAAGCTGATCAAGTGGATCGAGAAGGAATACGACGTGTACTTCATACGGAACCATGCCACATTCTAAGCTGTAGCGAGCATTTCTAGGGAATTGTGAGATATATGACTATTTTTATATTGCTCTTCTGCCAACCAATTCAGGACAAAGTTGTTGTGCTGCTGCAGTTGTGACGGCGTCTGCTTAACTGATCCTTGTATACCATAATTACGCATGTACATTTGTAATTTACAGCTATAAGTAAATTCTAAAACTTTAGAGACTATAGTTTTAATGGTGAAATATTTAGAATTTATAAAGGCAGGAATTAGCCAGAAGATAGCTATTATATTTAAAATGAATATGGAAAGAACAATAATCAAGGACCTCCCTAAAAAGTCTAAGGATCCTGAAGAATGGTTTGAGTCTCCACTAGCCCAAGACATCCTTTAAGCACGGACTGAAACCAGTGATGATTTATCAGAGACCCTACTTTGTTTTTCCCATCACTATTTTGAGAGCCAAAGGACCCTTAAAGAGCGAGCTTTTGTGGAATCAACAACTTAGCGCGCGCACTCGCATCGGCAAGGATTATGATGTGAAGGTGCTGGCGGAATACTCGGAGATACAATTGAGTACAGGACACAAACGCGAACGCACACGCTTCGATTGTGGGCGCTGCCACGGGAAAACCAAGTTGAACCAGTGCCTACCGAAAAGAAATTGAAAAAAATAATTGCTTAAACCGATGAGTATGTGAAAAATGTTGAAAAACGCGTGGTGGTGAAATCGAAAAAAAAACCACGAGGAAAAAAGGAAAATTACTGGCGTAACGGGCAGTCCTTTTTTTGTATTCAACTGGCTCGAAAGGAGCAGCTTTTCAACATGCGCCACGCATTTTTTGGGTGTTAAATGCTCGTGTATCTGTCGGTTTTTGCGCGCTTAGCTCTGCGGCGGCATTAATACACACACACACACACAGAAACAGGACGAAATCCTGGCAGGATATACATATGCATGTGTATGTGAGACGCCGCTGAGTTAGTTCTGCGCCCGTGTTGGTCTACCCGCTTTTACTGTGCAAATCGTTTAATTTATGAGCAAAATATATATTTATTTTTATACGCACATCTCGTGCATTCCCGTTTCGTATTCGCCTCGTTTTCGATTCCTCGTTAATTTGCCGTTTGCCTTTCGAGCCGAATTCGTAGTTCTGAATTATCAACAACAAGGAGTTCCAAAGTTTCACCTTTCCCACAAACACAGACAAACACACACACACACATTCGAGGCCACAGGATGTCTTTTTGTGTATCCTAGAGTTATTTTGAAAGCAGCGCGTGTAGCAGAAAGAAGGAATAAAAAAAGGAGCAGGAGCAGCAGTAGGTGCAAGCCAAGGATTCTATTTAACTCGGAAAAAGTTTCAGCGCCTTGGACTTTTTATGGCTCTTCTTTCGGCCTTTTCTACTCGGGCTTTAATCAACTTTTTCGGAGTGCAGCGAAATTGGCCAAATTTCATAATTGGCCACATAAAAAATTGGCAAGAAAGAAGTTTTTTAAGAAAGTTGAAGGAAGATAAAAACTACATAATTTTGTATCATAATGAAAAATATTAAAAAAGTAGAAAGAAGTTTCTTTGTATTATCAAAAGACTAAGAATCTCTGCGAAATAATATTATTTTCTTAAAAAAAAAATTCTTAAACATTGACATATTTCACAAGAATACCATGTATTGTATCAGCTAATATTGTGTATTTTAAATAAAATAAAAAATAGTAACCAGGAAAAATAAAACAGAGTTAGTATTTTTCTCTTCCCAACAGGCAAATTAGATACAAAATAGTTTGTACTTTGAAAAGTTTGAATTGAATAAAAACAAAAACTCAGTAACTTTATCACATTATGGTATTTCATCATTATTATAAATTCTTCAACACCAGAAATATTAGCTCAAAGCCAAACTTGATCAACTCTTTTATTTTTCTTCTGCCGATTCTGATTGTTGTTCTAAAAAGTTTCCGCAAAACTCTCAGAGAAATTGCAGTCCTTAAACTTTTGATTGCATACTTTCAGCAGAGGACCAGCAGTAAAAAAAATATCTAGATATTGATTGCATGATTTAACCCCTGGAACGTGCAGCTTACTTTTTATTTATGTCAGCACAGAGTGTTTTCAAAGCAAATCAGAATATTTATGGTTTACTTACAAACCATCATTGTGTGTATAAATTGCTCTGAGTGAACATATAAAATATTGTGGGATTTTTCATTAAGATAAGTGTTAAGTGCTATTATTATTTTTTTTTCAATACAGTTTTCCTTATTCAACTTGCCAACTACTCGCCATCTGATGAAAGCCAAAAGCAAATTTCAATTTAAGCAAAATCAATACTGAAAATCAACAAATGAAAATATCAAAAGAGTGCGGCACATAATCTAATTTACCAGCCAAAAACCCTCTTCGTAAAGCCCGCGTAAAACCAACTGCAGCCATCGAAATAACCCAGCTACAAGCGATACAAAATCAACAAAAATTTTTCGAATTAATTTTGTTTGATGCGCACGCTCATAAAAATTTACATAGAAAGCGGCATAAAATAAATATAAAATACACCCAACCGAAAAGAAAAAAAAACGCGAGCGACAAAAGTGAATTGGTTAACCATGGAAAAGGCGTAACTGGCAACTGCTGACCCGGGCCCTATAACTTTAGGTTAGTATGTCGTCGCTGTCTTACTGACTTTGGATCTGGACTCCCGGAATGGGGCGACCATTTGCCTTTAAGCTTCCTTTTCCTTTAACGTTTTCTCATTTTATTTCGAGCCTCCTTTTTTTGTACCCAGTACTAGTACTCGTAGTAATTTTGGGGTATACTAAACTAGTGGTTCTTTATTATAGAGCTGTTACATTTAAAGATTCCTACTAAGAACCGAAATGTTTTGTGTGTTATTAAAAATGTAAAAAGTAATAACACATTCATAGAAAAAATAATATATATGAAAATAACCTTTAACCTAGATATATTTTATAATCAAAAATAAAGTTTCAATTATTGTAAGAGGCTTTGGAAGGTTTGGTGTTCTTAAATCTTTGGGAATATACTATAATATTATCTAAGTGCTAATATAAAAATTGTCCCGTTAAGGATTGGATTTATATGCTGGGTATTTGAAATTTCAAACGTAACATCCCTCTTTTTTTTGCTGCGATGCGTTGTTCGCTCGTTTTGTTTATCCTTTGGCCCCGATCAAATAGGCATCATTTGCCTGAAGGCAACTCGCAAAAGAAGGGAAAAAGGTCCGCGACCGCATCCACCGCTTCGCCGTCGCATCCGCATCCTTGCCCGCTTCCACTTTCACATCCACATCCTCATCCACTTCCACATCCACGTCCGCGTCCGCGTCCATGTCCTCGGCAGTGACAGCAATTTGAGCGACAGACAGTTGATGACTGTGTTGACAGGAGCGGGAAATCTTCGATATGGAACCGGGAGGTCGGGCCATCTCGGGCCATCGCTTCTCTACATTTCCCAGTGTCCTGGGCGATATTAACCCTATTTTTGTCGTAAATTAATTACGAGCAGAAGATGAAGGGACGTGGACGTGGACGAGGATGAAGACGAGAAGGAGGACGAGGACAAGTTGGGTACGGAAATAGGCACGCACAATTTTTATGAAATTTAATATTGAGCGGTCAAAGCGAAAAGGAAAAGATAGAAGGTCTTTATGGCTGGTGGATGAAGATATAATCTTAATAGTTTGGGTCTATGATAGTGTACTGGGTGTCCTTTATTTCGCATTAAATATCCATCAAGGCATCAAAGTGTTCAAAGCTAAGTACTTTGTTTGCTAACGGGCAGCTAAATAATAATATTGACAAGTATTAACAAACTTTTTACAAATATTACTATAAATACTCAGTATATCATCAAAATAATAAAATATTTACTTATATTTATCGTTTTAATTCTTTGAAAAAATAAGTACACGTCCAGTAGGACATTCATATAGCCACAATTTAACATGAACTTATGTCAGACACAACATATTTTAATGCGAGTAATATATCAATGGGAGCCCAAAAGGTTGGCCATTTATTTTATTTTGTTTGTTTTCAATTTGTTGGCCACTTCAGTAGTTGCTTTCTTATGTAGCCCCCTCTTTTTTGCCCACACTCGCATAACTCCAGACCATATATCATCGGATCCTGCGACTTCCGGTTGTCGCTGTTGGCATTTGCCATTCCCACTGTCTATTTATAGGCGCCGCTCACGCAGTCACTACTATATGAACCCTGCCACGCCCACTCGCACTCCCGGTTCCAATCCTTCATCGCCTCCCACAATGCAAAGAAAATTGAAAAGTAAATTATGTGTATTTTTTTGTATTTTCTTTCCACTCGGACTTATGGCGGTTTTGTTTGTCAGCACATGTGAGGGAATAGGCCAGGACTATTTCCCACAGAGCTCCACGTGCAATTCCTCAACGCAACCACACACCTCTCAGCCCATCCTTCATACTTTTTCTCCCCTATCGTAGTCTTATACAGGACATACAGGTGCGGTTAAAATTATAGATATATTGTAACAACCTGAGTGGAAATTGGGTTTAAATCGATTAAAATAGGTAAAAGTATATCCCAAATATTTCGATAAAAATTAAAATATTTTTTCAATATAAAAAAGAGTTATAAGAAACTACTTTATGGACATTGATTTTTAAAAGTTCCAAAGCATTTGTTTTGTTACTTACGCTTTGTTCATTAAGTATATTTTAGAAGAGATTTGATAAGATATTGAGTATTTTTGAAGATATTATGATTATGAGGAAGGCATTTTTTATAGGTAAAAGTTTCATATTATCTGATGTGGTCCATATTTTATGGAATTTTAAAGGTTATATAAAGTTTTCTATGAATATATTAGTATCAACATATCATAACTTATTACAACAAATTGAAACCTAATAAATTCTAATCTGCTCTTGCTTATGAATTTTATTAAATCCAGTTCCATTTATTCACTTCAAATAGTTGTTATTTTCCTTTTAGATAGCTAGTTGGTTAACCGCAGCTGTATAGCTGGTATTGTGGGGAATTTATTGAATTTTTATTGGATTTCTGTGCCGGGCCGTGCTGGCTGCTGTGTACTCGTTAGGCGTGGCATAATTCATTATGTTGACTCACCAACACCCACAGCCGCATCCACATCCACATCCACATCCACATCCACATCCACATCCTGGCCAAAGTCCTGGCCACAGAAACACCCCTTTTCGTCACAAACCTCTACTAATGACGTGCCGCGTGCTTTGCATATTAATGCACAAAACGGGCCTGCATTCCGTTGGCAGCTCAATCTACGATTTAAAGAGCCATCACAGGACTTAATATTGTTTTTCTGGCGAAAAAAGGGGCGAGGTCCTTTTCAAGGACACGCTCTGTGATTAGCACGGCTTTCAAAAGGGAAATTATTACGCTGCAAAGATCAAAACCGGATTGCCAGGGCAGCGAACTGCCAAACTCACCTTTTCATGTCAAAGCAAAGCCATTTTGGGCAGTCAAATGTGTGCAGGGATATGCGAGGATTTCGTATATATAGAGATGTATGTATATACCGGAATAACCACCCTGCCAAGTTGTCCTTGGCGTTGTATTTCTGGGAGGACAGATAGGAAGATCCGGAAAATACAAGATTGTATTACAGTTCAGCAATTGTCTAATAAAGCCAAACAAGCGCATGAAGACTTATATTTTATATCCTCTCGTTTGCAATTCATTTAATCTGAATTAAGCTTCAGTAAACTAAATAGAAGCCTACAATTCAATTTGACATGCAAAGTTCTATTTGGCAATTTAATTGTTGATTTTAATCTTTAAAATGACTAATGGGGTATGTTTGTTTAAATGGAAAATAAACAGAAGCAGCTAACACTTTATTGGGATTTATTTTAATTCAGGTATCAACAAGTTTTTATATAGCAAAAAAAGGTATATGATGATAAATACATAATTTTTTCTTATGATTAAAATATAATTTTAACTTTGATTTATTTTATTATATGTTATTAGTATAAGAGAAATATATAATAAAGAGAACAAATGATATATTATAAATCATTAGTTAAACGTATACTTTAGGTTTTTACTATATTATTAACTTATTTATTTATTTGTTATTTATTTAATTTATTATTTATTAGTATGCAAATATGCTTTTTTCTCGTGATGAATGAATAATAAGGTAGGAAATATAGTTTTATAATTGAAATGAGGATACCTAAAACCATTTGGTTAATATACTGCTTGTGTATTGTTTTTTGGGGTATTATTTAAACCATTAAGTTATTTAATCTTTAGTTTAAAAGTGGTTTGTTTTTAATCAGCCATCAACACACTATTTATTTAACAAAAAAATGTTGTTCTATGTTATAAATTATAGCGGGAAAATAAAGTTTCTTATTTACTATATGTTATTATAATATTAGTATAATAATCATTAATATTAATATATTATTAATATGTTTACTATTATGTTTACTTTATGATATGTTAAACATATTAGAAAAATAGAAAATTCAGACAACAATTGAGGTCTTAGATATAATTTTCAAAAGTACAACTTGTAAATTAACTATTCGGCTTTTTATATTATTTATGGGGTTTCGGATATATACTCTCTATATATAGTTAAATTTAACCCTAATCTGGAATGGCTATAATTGCTGGGCAGCGATCTTCCAGCTGGTTGGGCAACCAAACCAAAGATATCTGCAACTTCCCGTTTGCACATGCACGACTATTTACATATCTGCGCTTCATATTCATTTCCATTTCCATTTTGGCTGGCAAACTTTCGTCTTTGGCCCGAACTTTGGGCCAGGAGAAAAGTTTGGCCAAACAGTGGGACCATGTCGCCTGGACAAAAAAAGTTTTCGGGGGATGAAATTGGGCAATATTACTCGTAGGCAGTTGCCTCGCATTTCTAAGCAAACGTTTAATATTCACGCTTGAGCGCATTTCCAGCGGCGGGAAAACGAAGGGTGGTGGCTCCTGGTAGTATTCCTATTGGTAGGAAAATGTGTGAACCGCTTGACGCTTATCTGTATGCCTTGGCCATGGCGTTTTGACCAAATTTTATTGCCTGTTTCCAGGCCAAACGCTTCGTTTCTGCTCAAGTGAACCCGGTCGTAATGTTCCGGTTCCGAAGCTCGGCTGTTATGCAATTAGCCGCCGCCCCGAAATTTCAGGAAGGATGTGGTGAAGCCAAGACGGTGTTCATTACTGCCCTGTAGTCCCATATTAATCATACGCCATGTTGTGCGCACAAGCCGGGCTAATGAAGCTGGCTCCTTGGGCTGTCCGTTGTCAAGCGTTTAAGTCGCTTTAAATGCAATTTCGAATTACTTGTGAAACGCCACTTGTTTACATACCCCATAACACTCGGTTTTCCCCTCTGTCTCCGAGATCCGAAGCGAAAACACGGACTCAAACTCGAACGTGGCCTGCAATTTCGATCCCTCTTTAGTGGCCGTGCTGCGTTCCTGATTTTCCGTCTGCCCTGGCTTGCCGCCATCATTCAACATTCATGGGAACATTTGTTTTCCCCATTCAGCTTTTCCTCTATTTTTTACTCTCCTTTTATTTGGCTTGTGTCTGAAAAACAGAAGGAGGCACTAGTCTAAAGGCCAGTCAATCGCTGTCTCAGTTTCCATT